CTCGTCGACGCGCCACCGGTGCTGGGGCCGCCGCCGGTGCTGAAGCCGTTCAGCAGCATGCCGATACTCGGCAGCAGCGCTGGCATCGACGGCTCCGCGGCCGGCGGCAGCACGCGTGGCGGCGCCGACGGCGGCAGCGGCGGCGCGCAGTGCGTGCGGTTTGCGGATGAGGCAACCGCGTCCGGCTCCGAGAGCCTCAGCCTCAGCATGAGCCGCAGCAGCAGCGGCTCCGTCCTCGGGATGGTGGCCGCCCCAACCTCGGCCCTGCGGCGCGCCGAGTCCAGCCCGCTCGTGCACGCGTATGGAGGAGAGGGCAGCAGCACTGGCTGCGGCAGCGGCAGTGGCAGCGGCAGCAGCAGCGGCGGCGGCGCCAGCCCGGCTGACAGCAGCACGAGCGAGGCGTCGTCCGATCGCGGCGACGGGCCCGGCGGCGGCGACAGCGGCGCCAACGCGCGCCGGATGGACTCGGCCAGCGTGCACTCGAGCCGCAGCTTTGCCAGCTTCGCACGACTGTTCATGGGCGAGCGTGTGTCCATAACGCGGCCCCCAGCCGCCGCTGGCGGGCAGCCGGCGTGCGACTGCGCTTCCTATGTGAGCTACGGCGGCGAGCCCGCGTCGCGCGGCTGTGGGCGCTGCCGCAATGGCGGCGGCGGCGGCGGCGGCGCGGCTGGCGCCAACACTGGTGGCGGCGGTGGGTCTGCTGACGTTGCGAGCTGGCTCGCATGGCGCTGGCCCGGCGGGACGGCCGCGCCGGGCGCGGACGGGGTGGCGCAGCCCATCGCCTGGGACCCGGCGGAGGACCTCCCCCAACCTGAGCCTGCCGCCGCCGCCGCCGGCCGCCTCTCCCTCGCGTCCCGCGCCCGCGCCCACCTCAAGTCCGCCGCCGCCGCCGCCGCCCGCGCCGCGCGCCCGCGCCCCGGCACCTGGGCGTTCGCGGCCGCCCGCGCGGCCGCGCGGGCGGCTGGGCTCGGGTCGGCGCTGCTGACCGCGCCGCTGGACGTGCTCGAGGCGTGGCTGGTCATGGCGCTGCGGCCGCCGCCGTACCGCCACGTGGGGCACCAGCTGATCTTGACTCACCAGGGGCTGCGGCCGCAGGTGGCGCCGCTGCAGGCCTACAACAGGTACGCAGGGGACGCCTGGTCGTTCAACCGCGAGCTGGCGCTCGTCGTGTTCAGGGAGCACTCCATCATCTTCTACAAGCGCCGCCTGGCCGCCTTGGTCGGCGCCGCGGTCGAGCGAGCCGGCGGCGGCGCGGCCGCGGCGGCGGCGGCCGTGGCGGCGGCCGCGGCGGGTGGTGGCAGGGATTGAGCGCGGGCCGCCGGATGGGCGGCCCACCTGATGGCCGAGATGCGAGGAGCCTGTGCGTGCACAGGCGACGCAAATTTGGCATTACGTTGGGTCTTGCCGGCGCTGCGCTGCGGCACCACCACTTTGTTGAGGATGTGGTACCGCGCCGCAGTCGCAACGCACGTATGCCCCTACCCCTCTCCAACTCCCACCCAATTGGGGCAAGCACACTTGCTCGCATGCGACATACCATAGCTCTGCAAGCCCAGCAACCACCTTCAAATGGCTTTGGGGCGCACCTGCCCTGCGCCCGACATTCCGCGGCGCATATTGTACCATGAGCACATGCAGCAGCCTGCTTACAACCCGTGCACACGCCAGAGGACGGCCCATGTCGGCCCCATGCACGCAAGGCTGCGTGCTGCTGCAGCAAAGCAGCCGAACGCCTGACTGCGACAGTCGGGGCTTGAAGGGCAGACCTATGGTGCAGCCGAGCCAGAGGCCGCTGCTACCATGCGTGGCCTCTTGGCAGGGTGCAGAACATTCTCTGATTGATCACAACGGCCGCACACACTAAGCGCCCACCCTCATACCAAGCGCCGCGTTTTTGATGGCCAGGGGAGCCGCCCGCCTGCATACTGCTGCCCAGGTGCCGCAAATGCGGGTGCGTCGCTTACCTTGCACCCGTGGCGGCGGCAGGATGGATTGCTTTGTCATCTCGGGACGTTTCAACATCATACCACTCTGCTTAACGCCATGCATATGAACGAGTACCCAAAACGTGTTGTGGCGGCGCGGATCCTGGCAGCAACACCAAGCAGGTGGTGTGGTTGTGGCGGTATTGAGCGCGTTTCTTAGTCAATCTCTTAGCAACGCACACGCGCGTTATGTGGCATGGCATGTAGTGGTGCACACCAGCAGCATGCGTTTAGGTCGCTTCCATGCACATCCACAGCACCTGGGGGTTTGCCCGACCCCCGGCCTTTGTTCCTTGCAGGGGCTGGGGGGTGCGGCGCCGCGCTTGCCTAGATTGAGCGTTATTCCCCAATCTAGCCGACTTGCCCCATCCAGGGAATTCAGCAGGACGGACCGCTTGCAGGTTGAGAACCCCTGCTTGCACAGGGGGGGCTCCCTCACACTCACTGATCTCGGTTCGTCCAAGCGCACGCAAACCCTTGCCGATTCTTTCTCGCAATCAACAATCCTTCCATCTCCAAGCTGCTGCGCGCCTGTACACGCCTTGAATTGTGCAGGATTATCGGCGCGCATGCACTGCACTCTGTTTGTCATGGGTTCCGCACGGCTGGCCGCCTCTGAGGGGGCAGCCGGCCGCGGCAAGCAGAATTCACGGTGGAAAGCCACCTGTTGAGCGGCTTGTTGACAGCGACGGTAATTCCTCTGAACTGCAATAGACAGCATTTGTAAATCAAAAGATTATGGCCCTTGAGCTGCCCTGTGGGTGCTGCCTGTGGTTGCTTTGGGTGATGTGCATCGATGAGTGCAGGTGGGCGGCACATTGCCTGTGTACCGCCTCAGCAGCATGAGGGGCACGTGAATCTGTCATCAGGCGTGTCGGCCTTGACAAAACAATCGATGCGGGCTTGTGCGGATGGTGGGTCAAAGCCGTGATATGCTGCCCAATTGACTGTACACCAGTACTAAGCACACCAGTCCGCAGGCCCTGCGGGGGTGGCTGCGAGGAACTGAAGAGAAGCGTCGTGGGTGACTGACTCAGGTGTCACGTGTCTGTTGCGACCTGACAATCATCGGTCATTTTGGCTCCCCAGGTATACCGTTCAGGGCATCAGTGCCGCATGGTGTGGTTTCATGGCTTTTGAAGCTGCTGAGTTGCCGGTGCTCCGCATGCTGCGTGCCACTGGGGATGGCAGGCCATGCAGAAACTGGACCAGCGGCCGTGCACTCACCAGGGCATGAGATCAACAACGGAGGCACTGCGCACCCCACGCTTGCCAATTCATCCTGGATCACGCACTCCTGTGTGATGAAGTAGGGGCCCTCAGCTCGCTGTGCTCCATGTACGGAGCGCAGCAATCCCAGACACTTGGGTACAGGCGCCTCTCATTTGTCCCTGTGCGGGATACGGGGCAGCAGACTCCTTTTGGGTTGCTGGTACCTTTGAATAAGCCGGGGCCGCGTGAGGACGGGGCAGCGGTCTCCGCTATGCCCGGGCTGCGCACAAGCGAGATCCACGCCCTGCACAATGGCGTCAAGGTCAAGGAGTTCTATAAAGAAAGCAGCGTTGTGCTGCGCTGGACGACCGTCAAGCGCGCGGTGAGCTTGAACAGCCGCCGCCGGGGCGGCGGCAGTAACACTGCTGCTTGTGTCAGTCTTGGGCCACACACCCCGCCTGGCAGCTGCATCACGCCGTCCATGATAAGGTTGTTCTCGAGACACCAATCCTTGCCCTGCTAGATCACGGGGCTATGCACTTGCACGTGTGCCTGGCATCCGGCGGCTGCCAGTGCTTGAAGCTGTCATTTGACCCTGTGCTACAGCATCCAAAACTCTCTTCAAAATTGCTCTGCGCTGCGCAGGGCGTGGGCCTCATCAACCTGGGTAACACCTGCTTCATGAACTCGGTGCTGCAGTGTATCACGCACACGCCGCCGCTGGCGCAACTATTCCTCTCTGAGCGCGACATCGCGCCACGCAGCAACGGCGGCACGCCGCCCGGTCACTTCGACCCGATCGCCGCGACGCAGCAGCTGGTGCGCCGCGCGTTCAGTGGCGGCGCGCCGGCGCGGCCGGCGCTGCACGCCAAGGGGCTGCGGGCGATCAACCGGCGGTGAGGGGCCTGCTTGCAGCCGCCGGGCGCGCCAGCTGGGAACAGCAGGGGGCCTCGCGACATGCAGGGTGTTTTGTTGAGACGGTCTGCGGCAGCACGTCTCTTGTTTGTTGTTCAGGAGAGCAGGCGGCATCAATTGTTTGCGCAACGCCTCAATGCGGCGGCGGTATGGACTGCAGCTAGGCATGTGTGTGGATGATGATACCGAAACGGTATTGAGCCGCCAACCCCTCCGTTCCGGAGGACGGCGACACGTGATCAACCCATTATGTCATAGTTACACTGACACACACAGCGTCTGGCCGCCTCTCACGCGGCCGCCCCATGCCTTGATCCCTTTCAAAGCACGCGCCTGCACTCCCTCATCACCCGCACCCCCCGCCTGGCCCCTTCTGCCGACTTCCCTGCAGCTTCCGCCTGGGCCGCCAGGAGGATGCCCATGAGTATCTGCGGTGCCTAGTGGACGCCATGCACGAGGCCTGGCTCAAGGTGCGTTGATGCTGTCATGCCCCAACTTGTACCGCCCCAGGAGCCAGCACCTCATGCATCCGCTGCCCCGCCCGGGACCGCGCCGTTGCACCGGCGCGCCGCGCCCGCCGCGCTCGGCGGCGCCTGGCCGTGCCCCTACCCTGCATCCGCTGCCTTGCGTGCGCCCGCTCCTCGAGACAGCCGGCCGCGCTGCCTCCGTCCGCTCCAGGAGCGACCACCTGGCGGTCTGCAGCGCAACGGCGAGCCGCCGCTGACGGCCGCCCCTTGGCGCGCCCGCGCAGGGCCTGGGGCTCAAGCAGAAGCCGTCGCAGGAGCTGGCCACCACCACCTTTGTGCACCGCGTCTTCGGCGGCCGCCTGCGCAGCCAGGTGCGCCCCTTCGGCCGCCAAGGCGAATGCGTGCGCGTGAGCGCTCGCCCCGCTGGCCTTCACTTGCGTCTCGGTGCCTGCCTGGCTCTTTGAATGCAAGCACGCGCGGCTTTCGCTGTTGAAGCATCTTGTTGCTTAGCCCTGGGCAACCCTCAGGTGCCTGTGTGTTGCTCTCCTGCACTGTCTGTCCGCCTGATCCCAGCCTATTTGCGCACACACTGCAACGGTCTACCTTGCCCAGATCAAGTGTGAGGGCGTGGACTACGAGTCGTGCACCTACGACCCCTTCCTCGACCTCTCCCTGGAGATTAATCAGGTGCACCCCACCTTCCTCACATGCAATGTGTCCGCCGTGTGTCCCCAGCGCGCGCCGCTTTTTGCCGCCCCGTGCTCGTCGGTGGGAGCCACGGCGCCGCTCGCACCAACTCCCACACGCCTGCGCCCGCCCCCACATCCCCCAGGCGGCCACGCTGCAGCGCGCGCTGCAGCACTTCACCGCGGCTGAGGTGCTGGACGGCGACAACCGCTACCGCTGCCCCAAAAACAACAAGCTCGTGCGCGCCAAGAAGCGGATTACCATCGAGGAGGCGCCCAACGTGCTGGCGGTCCACCTCAAGCGCTTCGACTTCTTCGGGCGCGGTGAGCCGGCTCGGCCGGGCGGGGGCCGCGCCATGTGCTCTTGTGGGTGGACGGGTTTGCGGCGGGGCGCGAGAGCCATTCTTGGCTGGTCACGGCGCGCATTCCTGCTAGCTAACCTGTCTTCGCTTCACCGGCGGTTTGCCCTACACACACACACACACACACACACACACACACACATACACACACACACCAACACCCGCCCTCCCCCACGTCTCAGGCCACAAGCTGTCAAAGCGGGTGGAGTTTGGGACGGACCTGGACCTGGGCCCCTACATGAGCGGCTGGCCGGCCTGTGGGCCGCAGCTGTACGACCTGTACGGCGTGCTCGTCCACCACGGCCACAGGTGGGCGGGCCGTATTTGCAAACACGAGCCGCATGTGCTGGCAGCCCTTGATGCCTTAGCTCTTCGTGGAAGCATCTGGCTGACATCGGCGGTGGCCATCGTCAGCGTCGCGGACGTGATTTTGCTTGCTGCTGACATCATCCGGCACATGTTGTCGCTTCAGACACGCCTCCGCCCTCTTCTGGTCTGGCCCCTTTGGCCCCTGCGCTGCGGCTTCCCTCAGTTTGCACTCTGGCCACTACGTGTGCTACGTGAAGGCCGGCAACGGCATCTGGCACCTCTGTGATGACCACCGGGTGGCGCAGGTGCGGGCTTTGACTCACACACTGTATATCACATCGTCTTGATGCCCAGGCCAGAAGTCCAGGTCGCTGTGCCGCGTCGAGCCGTGACTATTACGTGCTACTAAGACGGCGTCTGCGCGCCTATGCGCCCAAGAGGGCGAGGGAAACGCGCTGGGTTGAGTCCTCAAGTTGGCATCGGCACCCACCACAATGACGCTGTCGATGCCTGCGCTGCTGCGCCCACAGGTCAGCCAGCGCGCGGTGGAGGGGCAGCAGGCCTACATACTGTTCTACGTCAGGCGCAGCCCCCGCACGCCGGCCTCGGTCGGCGCGGGCGACGCGACGGCCACGGCCGCGGCGATGCTGGCTATGGCGGAGCGCAAGGCGGCGGCTGCCAAGGCCGGCGCGGCCAAACCCGCAGGCGCCGTCGTGCCGGAGGGGCGCGCGGAGGCTCGGAACGGGGTGGACAGCAGCAGCAAGGTCGGGCAGGCGGGCGCTCCTGTGCAGGCGCAGGCACGGGATCAGCAGTTGCAGCAGCGGCGGCAGGAGCAGCAGCCGGTGCCCGCGGCGGCCGCGGCCGTGCCTCAGCAGCCAGCGAACGCCGAGCGTCCGCAGCAGCAGCAGCAGCAGCAGCAGCAGCGTGGCGTGGCGCGGCTCAAGGCAGGGACAGCAGCGGGTGCGGACACTTTGGTCGGGAACGGCGTGGCGGCAGGCGCGGGCTCTGGCGCCGCAGCCGTTGTTGTTGTAGATGGACCCGCCAACGGTGTTTCTAGCCCAGAAAGCAGCTGCCCATCCTCGGGGTGAGCTACCTTGCAAGGACCGGCGCCCTCCGTTGGACGAGCTGCTGAACAACTTGTCTCGCCTTGCGCTTGAATTCGCTCTTCCGTTAGCATGTGCGTGTTGCATGGCATGTGTGGCTTGTTTGCTGGCTTTCAGCACAGATTGCTCTGTCGGGCCGCGATAACGGCATCTTGGTGGGAGGATGACACGCACTGGGCACTGAGTCAAAGACACTGACGACAACGTGCTGGGGCCTCAGAAACCCCGAGTGCTGACCACTCTTTTGTTGATTGTTTTGTTCCCTATCTGCTCCATTGCAATTTCTTGTCTATGCAGGCCGCACACCCAGCTATCGCCCTTAACCGACACTTTTGCTTCACCGCCCGCAACCCCCCTCCAGGCCGCAGGACTCTCAAACCGTGCACTGCAAAGTGCAGGTCCCCGTGCGCTCGCTGCGCATCCCCAGCCACCACCTGCTGCGGCCGCGAGGCATGTCGAGCTTCAGCCGGCACGTCCGCATCTTCCAGGGCTTCGTGCAGCAGAGGTCGCAGCAAGAGGCCGCCCTGCGCAGGCGCGAGGCGGGGCGCGCCCAGCTGGTGCCTGGGCAGCGCGGCGGGCCGGAGGAGCCCGCGACGGCGGCGGCGGCGGGGAGAGAGGCTGCAGTCGCGGCCGGCGGCAAGCGTCGGCGGGCAGAGCGTGAGGGGCAAAACGGACACCTGGAGCCTGGGAAGCAGCAGCAGCAGGAGCAGCAGCAGGTGGTCGCTGCAAAGCGTGCCAGGCGCATCGTGCCGCAGCCAGTGCCGCTCGAGCCTGCGCCGGCGCCCTTGCGGCTCAAGCAGCAGCAGCAGCAACAGCGGGAGCGGGCGTCAGAGCAGCAGCAACCGCTGGCCGCCCAGAAGCAGCAGCAGGGCGAGCAGCAGCAGGGCAAGCAGCAGCAGGGCAAGCAGCAGCAGGGCAAGCAGCAGCAGGGCAAGCAGCAGCAGGGCAAGCAGCAGCAGCAGGAGCGCCACAACCACCATCAGCCACCACAGCTGCCGCAGCCGCAACAGCGGGAAAAGCAGCCGCGGAAGCAGGACGGCGGCGAGCCGTTTGCTGTCCAGGGCGGCGGCCTCAGCGGCGGGGTGGGCGGCGGCGGGCCCGCGGCGCCAACGGGCCTAGAGGCTCTGATGCTCCTCTCCAGCGACGCCGCCGCAGCGCCGGGCGGCTGGGACGGCGCGGAGGATGCCTCCGAGGCGGCCGCAGCCGCGCGGCTGCAGCGCCAGCAGGACGCTTTGCTCGGGCGGCGGCGGCGGGACGAGTGGGACGTGGAATATGACCGCGGCAAGAACAAGAAGGTGCGGTCAAGAAAGGAGGAGGGAGAGGATGGCGACGGCGACGATGGGCTCGGGGAGGGCGGCGGCGGCGGCAGCCGTTTCCAGCGCGCATTCGACGCGGGCCTGCATAAGGAGGCGCGCGCCGAGGCGATGCGCGGCGGCAACAGCGGCGGGCGGCCAGGGCGCGGCGACGAGCGGCAGCGGGGACGGGGCTTCAGAGGCGGCCGCGGCGGCCGGGGCGGGCGAGGAGGTGGCGGTCGCGGCGGGCGCGGCGGCAGCGGCAGGGGTGGCCGGGGTGGCGGCGGAAGGGGTGGCGGCCGCGGCGGTGGGGGTGGACGAAATCATGGCGGGCATGGCCGGGGCGGCGGCCGGGGGCGCGGCCGTGGCCGTTGACGGCGCACGACTTGACTGGACTGTGCTCGCATGTACCTTGTATGCCCTCTGCTCGCATGTACTTTGTATGCCCTCTGTAACATCAAACATGCGCCTCCTCTGTCGGTTCGGTTCTAGTCGTGCAGCTTGGGATAATGGGGGCCGAGTGCACTGCAGCGGCGGATGCCGTGTGCATCGCCTGTTGAGTACCCATTTACCAATCGGGCTCCGAGCCCGAGGGTCCCGATTTGTTCATATACACCTTGTACCTATATAGCCACGTCCTATAGGTCTGCCGCGTGCCTCTTCCCGCGCGTCGGCTCAATCACAGAGGCCATGGCGCCCGCACACCCTCGTACAATCGCACTGTTTGATGTGGATGGAACTCTCACGGTTCCCCGCAAGGTGGGCCATCAAGCCTCGCTGCTTGGAGGGCGGCAGGGCCCGCTGAGCTCACCCAGTGCTGCCCTGCCCGCAGGAGGCTACGAGCGACTTGCTGGCATTCCTGCAGGAGCTCCGTAAGGTGCGATCGATGCCCCACTGTGCTGGGGACTCTGAGTAACTGCGGTTGCCGGCCCGCATCAATATTCACCTGTCTCCGCGCTCGCGGCCGTCCACAGTACGTTACCGTAGGAATCGTCGGTGGTTCCGACCTTGTCAAGATTCAGGAGCAGCTCGGCAGCAATGGTGCGCGCTCGCAGCGCACCCGGCGCGCACCGTGCTGCATGCTGCCTTGAATTGGCTGTGCTTCTGGCAACCCGTCCGCCAGTCCGCATGCCCTGGCTCCACCGCGCCCAGCCCTTCGTTCGCCCACCGTCCGCGCGACGCAGCCCGCCCACATAAACCGCTCACTATTCGGCCGGCCATGCGACCAACCGCCACCCCCGTCGTCAACGTCTCGAACCTGCCTCCCCATGCTGCCTCCCCATGCCGCCTCCTCACAGCCCTGGAGGTGTATGACTACGTGTTCAGCGAGAACGGCCTGGTGGCGCACAAGGCGGGCAAGCTGCTGGCGGTGCAGTCGCTCAAGGTGCACCTGGGCGAGGACAAGCTGAAGAAGTGAGCCGGTGGCCGGGGCAGTTGGGCGCGGCGGTTGGTGCCGCTACATGCGGCCGAGGCGGCGCCGGCGGCACGCACGGCGCCAGAGAGGCCGGCTGCATGGACTTGCGCGCCCCAGCACGGCGCACGCCGCTTCTGTGGGTCTGCTCGCAGCTGCACTTGCATTATCATCCCCTTCATGCCCACCAAGCCGTTTGCCTTGAACCACAAATCGCGCCCGCTCCGTGTGCGTGCAACAAAACAGCAACAGCAGCAGCAGCAGCAGCAGCAGTGGCAGCACAGCAGCAGCAACAGCAGCAGCAACACACCATGCCGCATCATGTCTCCGCCCCTCTCCCCCCTCCAAGGTTCATCAACTTTGTGCTGCACTACATCGCCGACCTCGACATCCCCATCAAGCGCGGCACCTTCATCGAGTTCCGCAACGGCATGCTCAATGTGTCCCCCATCGGCCGCAACTGCAGCCAGGAGGAGCGCGACGCGTTCGAGGTATACGACAAGCAGGCCGGCGTCAGGTGCGTGCCGCGCGGGGCCGCAACACACGGACTGCACGCGGCGGGCGGCGGCCACGCGCACACCCATGGTCGGCGTGTTGCGGCACAGGCCTGCGGGTTGGTGCCAGCCTCTGCGTTGCACTTAGCGGCAGGAGCTGAGAGCCGTGCGGCGTGCCATCGGCCGTTCTCATGCAGGCCCAAGTTTGTGGAGGTGCTGCGCGAGGAGTTTGCGGATTACGGCCTCACCTACTCCATCGGCGGCCAGATCAGCTTTGACGTGTTCCCCCAGGTGAGGGGTGTCGGGCAGAATAGTGCAGCCCGGGTCGCGACGCCCTCGAAGCGGCAGCGCACCCCACCCAACTGCCTTGCATGTGGCTGCTGCGCCCTCGGCCCTGGCAGCATGCACCTGCCCGCCTGCACCTGCTGACTTGACAACACCCCCTCATCACATAAACACACACAAGCGCGCGCATGCGTGCACATACACATACATGTACACATGCACATGCACACGCACATGCGCACACACACAATGCGCGCGCACGCGCGCGCGCACGCGCGCGCGCACACACACACACACACACATCGCGCTTGGCCATAACCCCAGGGCTGGGACAAGACCTACTGCCTGCAGTTTGTGAACAAAGACTTTGACGAGATCCACTTCTTCGGGGACAAGACCTTCAAGGTGGGGCCCCAGCCCAGGGGGCACAGCAACGCGCGCGGCCTTGCGCGCTGCGCCCGTCGGCCGCTGCCGCGGGCGCGCCCGTGCTGGCCGCGGCCAGGCCTCCAGGAGGCTTGGCGCATCGCCCGAGGGCTTTGGCACCCCCAGTCTCAGCAAAACCGTGCGCTTGGGCGTCCGCTTGGCTACGTCGCGGCTTTCTCCTGCCTGGACGCTATCTCTCCCGAGCTCTTGCACCGGCCCCGCCGTCACCGTGGCGGTGGCCTGGCCTCAACCCCAACCCCCAGGGCGGCAACGACTACGAGATCTTCACCAGCGACGAGACCATCGGCCACGCCGTCACCAGCCCCGACGACACACGCAAGCTGTGCACCGAGCTCTTCATGTCGAAGTAGCGCGAACCATTGACAAGCGCAAGGGGCCCGCGGGGCGCGGCGGAGGGCCGGCACGGGGCGGCTTGGCGACTGTTGCTGGGCCGCTGGAGCTGATGCCATCGACTGGGCGACGAAGCTCCGAGCCAAGCAGGCATACGAGCGAGCAGCGGTTTTCAGCGGGATTCCGACTGACGACCTTGCATATCTGTCGCTGTGTGGGCCAAACCATCATGCCTCGGCGGCGGTTGCAGCGACCGCAGCAGGCGGGGCCGGTTTCATGTGCATTACAGAC